TTATTGATAACTTGACAAGTGGGGATACTCAAGTTTGTTTGGCTTTTGATTATTAAAAACTTGACAGAGATAACGATGGAGTTGTCGGTAAAACTCTGTTCTAAAGATGGAATTTCTCGTAATGGAACGGTGGCCCAAACCGTCCATAAATTATCATCTAGAAGTTTAACCATGGAATTAAAGGCAAGACCCACTCCCCCGACATTCGCAAAAGAGAGCTTGATTGACTGCCCCAAAACCGAGGTGATTAAGGTCAAGGTTTTCATCAAGTGGCCACAGACAGGAACTGTGCTTACTGCTGCTGGAATAACTTCAGGTTGATCTGTGGTCCAGCCTCTCGAGTCTTGTTACAGTGATGCTTTGGTTTTTCGAGCTATCTTTTGGGCATCAGAATAAAATCTCCTCATGTAACCATTTCAATCTTTATATCATGAGTTTACTGTGATCTACGGTGATTATTTATTTTAATTTATTTTTTATTTAGTGATTGTGATATGAAAAAAAATATTTAAGAAGCACGTTGATATCAAGAAATTATTCTAGTAATTCAATATAATTTATTTATTTTTTAAAAAAACTTAGTTAAATAAAAAATAATTTTATAAAAAACTAGATAATTAAATTTTATAGAATTAATGGCCTGATTTGTAGGTTTAATGAGGTAACTTTGGACGTCGTTTTTTTTTCTTTTTATCATATAACTAGATAAATAATAATTTAAAAAAAAGTATTAATTTCAATAGAGTCTATTATCCGATTTATATATTAGATGTGTTGACTCGGGTTACCCGATTCATAAATTTGATAGGTTTACCCATCAAATCTCATATATATATATATATATATATAGTTTTTGGTCCTTTATTTTTTTAATTATTTTTTTTTATTTTACTCTTTTTTAATATTAGATTAGTTGAAAAATAAAATTCATTGTTTATTTTTATTTACTTTTTATAGGATTATCACAATTTCAAATAAACATCTTTTTTAGAATTGATACTTGATTTTACACACATCTATTTTTATCATAAAATTGAACAAAAAAAGATAATAAATTTATTAAAATCTTTGATCTAAGTCACATGATGACCAAGGTTAATTCAACCGGTATCGTCTCAATATTTTAAAAAATACCATCTTAAAGTTTTATAAAAAATTATACAATATTTTTACTAGTTATCCAAATTATTTTTGAATCTATTAAATTGATTGATTCACTTTGAGACAACTCTCACATGATTTAGTTGAAAACTCAAGCTAGACATGAAGTTGAGTAAATAAATTTTAAAATTAAACCGCTTGATTGAATTTAATGATATTGTCAAAAAAATCTTCATGTTATTAACATTTTTTAAGTTAAAAAAAATCTTACCCATACTTAGCTCCCTCTAAACACTGTTCACTTATTTAATTAAGGATATTCTCTATTATTCTCATCTATGCTAATACTATTAAAACTAAAACCCTTCTCGTTGATACTCAATTTTGTTTTTCACTTAAAATGGGATACAGGGTAATTTTTCCGTTAAAATTGGCAACTAAATTAATACTATTTAACTAATCTTTTGTTAGACGGAGGATGTAATTAGTAATTAGCTAGGTTTAAGCAAGTCATGCGCATGTAGACGTAAGGTTAAGGTTATAAATTAAGTGACACAGTGGAAAATGCAACCCAGATATATGGGCTTTGGAGATTTGCTAGCTAGGAGGCAACCTGCAATTGAAAACCTTATCGTATACGTCCTGGTTATTGCATCGAACAAACTAAGCTAATTCATGCTGTTGCTCATTCAATGTTTTTGTTTTTGTTTTTTAAAACATACCCTAGCTAGGTTTGAATATTTCCATGTATTTGTGTGTGTCTACTTGAGCTTTGAGCTAGGTATGTAGTTGTGATTATTATCACATGAGCTTTGAGTGGTTTGCCGACTGATCAACAAATATTAAAAGAAAGCTTTTAACAATTTGATCATTGTTTTATTACAGGAGGCTGCTTAAACTAAAAAACGCACAAGTATAGAGTATATGGAGAGCTGTATTTCAACAACGACTTGCCTAATGAGGACGAGGGACGAAGTCCGAGTCATGCCTTGACTTTCACCTCCCAAAAGAGAAAAAGAAGCTTGGTCGATTCTATGTATATATATGGTAAGATCTAGCTGCTTTAATTAAGTGCAATTATATATTAATTAGAGGGAAACCAAATTGACAACATTTTGTAAATGAAACCCAAAAGGTTGAAAGGACAGGTTTTTCTCCTAGAGTCTGTGTGCTAGATTATGTGTGACCTCGATCGTCGCTGCCTTGCTTTAGCACGCGATTCTCTCCCCTGAAAAGTATAAAAGGCCACAGAAAAAACAAGGAAAGCGAAGGGTGAAAAAGATGAAAGCAGACATATCCAATCATAATGATCTTCGTTGACATCAAGAAATTGGCACATCCAATCAGCTGTTTGAGTGAAGAACGGAGATCATAGGCCTACTAGATACATTTATATACATTACTTCCTACGTACACATGTACGAGCATGTGTGTGTGGTATATATGTACAGATATGGTATGTGCAGTGCTGTACTTTGAAAAAGGAAAAAGGGGAGACAGCACTCGGAGTGGAGGGCTTTTTCATGTTGAATTTTGATGCAAGAAATGATGTGCTTATCTTGAAATCATTAGGTTTTCCCCTAAATGGCCATATTATGATTAATCCTCCAACGTCCTTAATCATGTTCTTTCCCAATTGTGTAAGATCACCTTTTGTTTGGTCTATCTAGGTAGGTAGTATTCATTGCAACTCCACTGCTTTTTTGTTTTACTAGATTCAAACCAAAGAAGGGAAGGTTTTCGTTACCTTCACTTGTCAAACTTGGTTCATGCTCTAACATGTTTTTGCTGCGCGTGCGGGCACGCACATTTAGTTGCGGGGTTTGGGTTTTTTTACATGAAAATGATGTTTAGTTACTGTATATGTGTTCTTTTTTTAAAATCACGCAACTTAGGTTATAAATCCATCAAAATTGAATAAGTTGATTTTAATTTAATTAAATAAAAAAATAATTAAATTTGAAAAGAAAAATAATTAAGATAATTAGAAAAAAAATATTTTTTTCAAAAGAGAATAAACAATATATCTCAATCCACATCTTATTAAATAAAGAAGAACAAAACAAGGTAAAAAAACTGGTTCTAGTTAAGTCGAGTTAGCATGATAAACACGTAGTTTTGATAATTAGGGTTGAGCCAAACCAAAATACCGTGTTTCAAATTATGAAATTAAAATAATCTAATATAATATAAAAATAATTATAAATCTTTTAAAAAAAAATATTCAAATTATGAAATTAAAATAATCTAATAAAATATAAAAAGAATTATAAATATTTTTTTTAAAAAATGTGTGCTAACTTTTCAAACATATGACTCGGGTCATTAGACGAAGTACCTTATTTGAAAAAACCCATAAATTTTAATTCTCATTAGACGAAGTACCTTATTTGAAAAAAACCCATAAATTTTAATTCTTAATCAATCAAATATTGAAGGATGAAATTAAAAATATAATTTTAATTATACAAAAAAATTAAAAAAATAGTAATTAAAAAAATGATGATCAAAATTCAAATGCAAAATAAATTTTATATTTTATTAAAAGGTGAAATTGAAAAGGAAAATTAATTTAGTAAAAGGAAAAAAATCAAAACAATGAGGATCAAAATTGACATGAAAATAAAAATAAATTTATGATTGAAGGGAGAAATTAAAAAAAATAATAACTTTTCCAAAGGGCCAAGAGAAAAAAATAGACACTAAAATAATAAGGATCAAATTGAAAAACATACTATCATCAATTTGGATTAAATGATGAAATTAAAAACAAATAATACTTTTACAAAAACACCAATAAAAAAATTAAAAATCAAAAGAATAAAGATCAAATTGAAAAATATGATATTTTAAAATTGAAATTGAAGGATGAAATTGAGAACAAATAAAACTTATATGAAGTGGTTAAGAATAAAAATTAGATATCAAAAAAATAATGACCTAAGTTGAAATACCAATAACAAAAAGGGCTAAGGTGTAATTTTTGAGGAAGAAAGGGAAAAAGAAAATAAAAAAACCCATTAACAACTAATCAGATCATCATTGAAAATACACATTGCATCAATAAAAAGAAAATACAACCCATTAACAACTAATCAGATCATCATTAAAAATACACATTGCACCAATAAAAAGAAGATATAATGCTTCTAATAACTAGATAAAAGAATATTTTTAAAAGCTAAAATGCATTGTATATATCTCTTAAAATGGATAGTTTTTTTTATGAGTTTCTTGATGTCGTATTTTTTTTAATTTTTTATTTAATTAAATATCAAATTATCTTTAAAATAATTTAATAATAACATAAGAATAATTGTGAAAAGATTAAAAAAAAAACCAGCTAACTCTAGCTTTATTTTTTTTTTCTTTTAAGGGATTTAGTCGTGTTTGGGTTTATTTGCGGATTACTTTTCAAGCCTGGTATTCTCAATCCTCTCATAAATATATTTTCAATATATACTTTCCACGTAAAAGGGACAAATATCTTCGTATCACCATCCGCATAAACCTTACTCATTCTCATATAGCTGGTTTAATTAGACATGAAGATATATCGAGCAAACAAATACTTACAAGAATATGTGCTATACAAGGATGTTGCTTCTTCAGGTATCATGTTTTGTAACTCATTGATTATGTCAAATTACTAATCAGCCCAATAATTAGCAGTAACGTGTTTTTTTTATTTGGTTAAAAGGAAAGTAGTGATCAAGTTGAGAGCAAAGGTTCAAAAGAACACTTGAAGTTTCCAAGACACTCAGTGAGACCAGTGGTCCTCTCATGAGTACTCCCAAAGTTAAATTTCCACACAATCCCCCCTCCTCCCTCCCTCCCTCCCTCTCTCTCTCCATTTTGATTTGCATTTAGACGTCCACAGCAGAATCAAGAAAGGAAAACTACCTTTATATAAAGGTGAAAGATGTGTGCATTTTTAAACACGCAGAAGATTAGCTAGAAGATACAAGGAAGGAAGCACCCCCCAATTCTAAATGGTGATTTGTGATATTCAGGAGGGTTTGGGAAATAAAATGGGCCATCAATGCTGCAGAAAACAGAAAGTCAAGAGAGGGCTATGGTCTCCAGAAGAAGACGAGAAGCTAATAAAATATATAACCACCCATGGTCATGGTTCTTGGAGTTCTGTTCCAAATCTAGCAGGTATACATATGTACATAAGACTCTAGTGCTCTTAATTTGATGTTTTAATTTAATTCTCTCTTATGTACGTAGGAGAGCTCTTCAATCCTCTTTCTTTCACAGCCAGCCCCCATTGTATTGTTTCTTCTCCTTGAAATGGTTGCTTATAATTCTTTCAGGGTTGGAAAGGTGTGGAAAGAGTTGTAGATTGAGATGGATAAACTACTTGAGACCGGATCTCAAAAGAGGTTCAATTACCGCAAAAGAAGAGAGGATCATCATTGACATTCACAGGATACTAGGCAATAGATGGGCTCAAATAGCTAAGCATTTGCCTGGCAGAACTGACAATGAGGTCAAGAACTTCTGGAACTCATGCATAAAAAAGAAGCTTATTGCACAAGGGTTAGATCCAAACACTCACAATCTCCTCTCTACTAATTATAAACAAAACAATGACAATAATGCATGGAAGCTCTCTTATCATTCCCAGCAACAACCCACCTCAACTTTCACAATGAATTCACAAATCAGTGGTATCTCATCAATGGTTATGAAAGCACCCCCTATTCCATTCCCTATGATTCCTCTTGCTCCTGATACTAATCCTCGCTTATCACACGAATTCTCATCCATATTAACATATGAATACCAAAACCCTAAAATGCAAGCTTTCTTGGAGAGCACTGCAAGCCAATCTTCAATCGGAAGTATTCCTATATTCTCTTCTACTTCACATCCATCCGAGTTTGGCATGTTAGATGAGAGCTGCATGTGGGCTGGTGGCTATGAACCCATTCAATCCATAATACCTGAAACAAAGCAGCCAGAGCGGCAAGTGGAAATTGAGAAGATCACCAGTGAGTTAGTAAGTGTTGGGCAGAATATGGATGCTTCATTTGAAACATCTAACTTTGATTTTGATTTTGATTTTGTGGAGTCGACTCTGCTGCCTTGTGGGATGTACTATAATCAGAGTCCCATCGATCAACTTGCATGGGATTCATGGGCCTTGCAAGAGAAAAAATGATTGTTGTGGCAATATTACGAATTCACCCTACAGAAACGGTTTAAGACTAGTACTGGTATGCTTGTTGACGGTTTTGTTTTCTTGTATTAATGTTCTAAGTAGTTTCTAGCTGGACTAATTCTATAACTTCGAATGTCATAGAGTAGTACAGTAGGGAAGCATACTTTGGCTGTAAACATGTTTCCAATAATCAAGTAGCTTCCTCTTCCGAGCCCCGCGCCCC